CTTCCTCACTGTAAAAGCCCCGCAGAATATGTACTTCCTGCTGCAGCTGAAGAAGTTCAACCTGCCAAACACAACAATGGTGCACTTCTACACTACCATCCATGAGTCCATCCTCACCACTGAATATGTAGACATCCATATGCCACATGCAGATGCAAACACACTGCACACCACAAGGTATCCCTCTTTCTCCCCAATCCCTCAGTACACCGTTGTCTTTGCCCGAATGTCATATTGATTAGCAATTATGGCAAACAGCCAAAATCACTTCCTCCATTCTTATCTAATGCTTCTCAGTCATATAGATAAACAAGCAATTCACTGTTTCTGCAGGCTTCTATCCCTGTAATTCATGCATCACTTAACTTTTATTCACCTTGAACAGCACCACTGATTTAGTGGGTGTAAATATGCACGCTAAACACACAATAAAACAGATTTGCACAAAGTTTTGATCTTTGTGATACTGTGTGAGTAACATAGCATTAAAAAGTGGATCAAGTTGCCCTTTAGTTTTGTCCTTCTCGGATCTCCTTTTTACTTGAAAAGTGTTTTTCCCTATTTTTTCCTCAGTGTGTGTGTTTGTGTGTGTGCATGCACTTTCACTTGTGTGTGTGTCCTTTTAAAGTGCTGATATATCTTCTTCAGTGATCTAGGTGTTTCCGACAGGCAAGGTGGTTTTATTACTCTCATTAATGAGAGGGAATGTATCTGCCAGCTCTTGCATAAAATGACAAACCGCTGGTCAAATGTTCACCGCAGTAGAGCATATTTAAATAACCATGAGATTTATGAGCAGTGAGAAGGCTAAAGGAAGTGTGTGTGTGTGTGTGTGTGTGTTTTACAACTGTGGCATTTAACTAAGCATACTGGGAGGAAATGGTAGGTTGGACAGATATGGGGCAGGAGATGCAGTGATGATGGTCGCAGCGGCGAGGTGGCAGGCTGATCCTGAGAAATTAAGATGACGTGTCATTATAGGGGAATGTGACCTGATGCGTTATGCGTTTGATGGTGCGTTTTGAGTATATAACATCATTTCAGAACATTGTGTCTTTCTTTAGGAACATTGTTTCTTTGAAAAATGCTCTGCACATTTCATATCCTCCTGAGGAAAGGAAGAGGCGATCTTAGCAACAGAAGTGTATACGTGTGCGTCTTAGTCTTTTATTGCTCCGCTATCCTCTTCAGGCATTCAAAAACTGTAAAAATGTATGTGTTTCTGAAAAAATCAAATATTGATATATTAATGTATATATTAATGTAAAATGAGAGAACAGGTGAGACTGAGTTCACCAGAGGCTACAGTTTTCATCATAAGTAAATCAGCCTAAGAGTTTTTTTTCCATAAATGATCCGGATTATTTCTCCTAATTGAGAGTAATCCCCAGGGCAAACTGAAAGAATGCTCCAAAAAAAGAGCTCAGCTGTTTTATGTTCAGGGGCATTTCATCAGCTAGATTTAAAAATTTTTTTATCAAAATTACTAGTTACTATTTTATGAATTCGTGGTTTTAAAAAGTAGTGCACTTAGGTTAAGGATTACACTTTACTGGGCTGTGTGACTATTGGTACTTGTCATCAACATTTTCTTTTAAAAAGGCACAAGAGACAGTAAAGAGACAGAAAAAAAGTGTGTGATGAGCACAACAACAGATCTCTATCGCCTCTCTGTGGATGTCAGGTGTTACTACAGCAAAGATGACTGGATTAAGCCTACTACTGACCACTGCCCAACAAACACACACAAGGTACTCTTTGTTCATTGTGTGTCATGTCGCCTTCAAATACCCACATAGTGCAGCATGCACAGCAAACTACACAATGTATTTTGATTCTATTTTTCATGAAGACCAAGAAACAAACAACTTCCTTGTACTGCTGTGCGTCCATTTGTGGCAGTAACACAAATTAAAAAACAACTTTTTAAGGAATAATGGCAGATTAGCATTAGCAATACTTCACTAGAGTCATTCAAATATAAATCAATATTTTTGCCCGATATTTTTCCCTGGGGCCAGGCTGACAGACAAACCTGTTTTTTCATATCTCATACCTCTATGTTCCATGCAAACACATCATATCCAAACTATGATCAAAACCAGGACTGGATCCATAACCAGGATACAATGTATGGATGTAAACACAGCAGCACATGAAACAGTGCAAGAGCAAACAGATAAATAACTATTTAAAATGAATAAATATAGCAAAATAAGACATGCCATCTAAAAGTTGTATAATATAAATATCATATATATAATCACACCTGGGCACACCTCCACACACACATAAACCACACATCACTGCTCAATAGCAACATTCTGCTATACATACAAGGCAAAATGCTAAACTGTGATGCTATCCATGTGAATTACTGAACAACTTGGGTATTTGGGAGGTGATTTGGCGGTCTGGAATAAGCCTACTTGGTTAACCACCCATCATTTTTGTGTAAGTTACCAAAACCTGATGATAATAGGGTCTTCGGGGTACCTGTGACTTTGGGGTATTTACCTGATTTACCCAGTCCTTGAATCCAATGAATGTTCTTGTAAACTCAAAAATAACCAATAACTCAATAATAAGATCTCAATAACTATAACTCTCTTCACCTTTGAGCAGAGCTGAATACAGGAAATCAGAAAAGGAAAAAGAGAGGTTGGCAAAAGAAGAATATATTACTTTCATGTTTACAAAACAAATTTTAATTCTTATCAATTCTACAATAAATATAATAGAAATAATAGTAATCAATATTTTCATATTAACAATGGATCAGGTTTGTAAAAGGGTGCACATGAATGCAAAGATAATTCCCCTCAGCTCTGCTGTGTGTGTTTGAGCTCATTGGTTTGGTTTTTACGGCATGCAACTATACCGTTATACTAAACTATAACTGTTTTGGTTCAGCCTCGCTGCTCTCATCAACCTTGTTTCCAGCAGCAGCAGGTGGCTCTGACTGTGAACTACCTGCCTGAGCACCACCAAATGTTAGACATGGCAAAGTTAGCAACTAACTGGTGAACAAGCATTTAGCAACTAAAGAGATACATTTTTCAGAAGTAGGTGCAGCCAAAAACAGAGCTAAAAAGACTTGAATGTTGGACATTTATCAGGTGGCATGACTGAATGATAGTGTTACTCCGTAACTGCTGGATGTGTAAATACTGTTTGCTTTAACAACTATTTTGTTTGGACTAAAGCCCCCAAGTGGCCAAAAAATCAATCTTACAGATATTTTGCTCAAAGAAGAAGGCACTTAAACGCCTCAGTTGATGGTCAATATATTGCGTCAAGTAGCTATAATGCACTGTGTTACCTCTGTGGGGCTTTAAAACTGTACTTTATTATTCATGAAGGCAAATCATCAACAACCCTTTAGTAGAAGAAATGGTGAGTTATAAGAATGAAAAACAGATCAGGCTTGTTAAAACCCTTCCAAACTATTGCCTCAGACTGATGTTATTTGTGAGTGTTGGCTGTGTTTCAATGTACTTCAGGGTCTGGCTGCAATACTGAGTGGTTACTGTGCAGTTAATGACCAGTGGGTGTCATGGATGTAGCTGAGGTCCATCTGAGGCAAGGAAAAGACAATTTTAATGAAAAACAAATCTAACCATGACGTGTCCCAGTTTGTGTGTCCAGAGCATGATCTACAAAACTGATACTGTATCCAGATTGTGTCCGGATACAGTTAATATAGGACTGCTGCTCAGTAAGTGATCACTTGAAATCAGATTTTACATCCTTATTCAGCTTTGTACGGTGGCCTAGAGGTAGCATCAAATTGCACGAATGCAAAAAGTCACAACACAACAGAAGTGAGCAACAACGGATGTTGACAATGAAAAAAGGGCATACTATTATTACCGACTGACTTATTGCTAACACATGTGGAGGAAGCAGTTCTTGCCCTCAAATGAGCTAGAACTGCTTCCAAGGTATGCTGTGTAACATGTGTACACCGTTCTTTTGATATTTTCTTTGGAAAGCTTTGACGCCTGCAAGAAAAGGTTGGGGGAATGCCATCACATTTGCTGACAATCAACATTCTTCTTCCTTCCTCGCTCCCTTCCAGTGTCTGTTTTCAAACTTCCTGTCTCTACGGGCAACAGCACAAACACAATAACAAGCTGCTTCCTAATGATGGACGACATTTAATTGGGTTGTAGTGTACATGCAAACTTCATTTTAAGAATATGTGCAATTCACAGAAGGGAGCAGGAGGGGATGTAGGGGATGGAGCCTGATGTAGCTATGACAGAGGTAGCCTATGTTTATCTATGTTCTATGCAAACCCACCATATCCCAAATAAGATCAAAACCAGGACTGGACTCATAAACCAGAACACAATGTGTGCAATCAAACATCGGCTACATATAAGATAAGATGAGACTTCATTGATCCTTAGTGGACATCTGCATCATCTGTCACATCAGCACATCTAAAGAGGTAGGAAATACAATTTACAATAAATATATAGTGTAAAATAAGAAATGATGACGCTGACGCTGATGCTGATGTTTCGAGAGTGAGGCAAATAAACCAGGTTCACATGAGGCTGCAAGTCCCTGCTTGTCACAAGGGCATCCATCTCTTCGCAGAATGACTAAACTACACCCAGACACAAGCATAAACCACACACTCATAACATTGCCCTTCTTTAGGATTCAACCTCCATCCATACATGTAGCCATGACACTGAGGTGACATGTGAAGGCCTATTCATTCATTCATTCAGTCATTCCCACCACATGCTGAGGCCAGCAGACAGTTATAGCTTCGAAAGACGTGAATCAAGCTTTAAGAAGAAAGCTAATCTCGGTCTTTTAATCTCTCCAGGGTTATCTCACAGGCATGTCAATCCCACAACAACCAACAAGCCAGCCCAGGCAGGCAGGGAGGCAGGGAGGCATGCAGGCCAATTTTCCGGCCGTGCCCGGTTCCCGTTTCCATGGAGATGACGTCATGCTGCAGCACCGAGATGAACGGCGCAGCCGCGGACTGAGGGAAGGGCGAGACAGAGGAGAGCTTACAACGCAGCCACAGCTCCTCCGCCATTCAGACAGACTGTCCACTGAACCGGGAGGGCCAGGACCGAACAGCCGCAGAACCGGAGCCCGTCGTCCTCATCATCTTCCTCTGTCTCTCCAGCAGCTCTCTGTGACACACACCGCAGCGACAACATGCGTGAGATAGTGCACCTGCAGGCCGGACAGTGCGGGAACCAGATTGGAGCAAAGGTATGAAAACACATACTCACACACACACACACACACACACACACAGAGAGAGACCCGTTATATACGCAGTCGGTTAAATGTGACCGAATTTAGGTTTAATCGTGTGCGTGCCCGCTGTCTGCTTTAAGAGGACATGCTGTCCGCAGGAAACACTAAATAGGTCAACGTTATGGAGTGGAAAGTGTTGTGGTTCAACGCTGCGTACAATAGCATCGTTTAGGATGGGCGGCGGCAAGCCGAGACATCCCCGCTGTTGTCGCTGATGCCCTTTAATGAACACAAATGTGTGTGTGTGTGTGTGTGTGTGTGTGTGTGTGTGTGTGGTCATAGGGAGAGAGAGGGGTGTGGCTCAGACACCGAATGCACTGGAACGCCGGCAGGCACGCATGTAATATTTCAACACAGTAGTAGTAATAATAATAATAATCAATAATGATGATGATAATAATAATAATGATAATAATGCTTAATAGGCTGGTATTTATTGCAATCTGTGCTTCAAATAAAGAGTGGATTTAGATCAAGCCATGTTTTGAAGGTATCTGTGAAGCAGAGATGTCAAATATTTAAAGGTTTTCTAGGGCTGCAGCTAACAGTGATTTGGTCTGTGAAACACGCAGTCTTCGCATTGCTTGTTTTGTCCTGTCTGAACAGTCCAAAATCCAAACACGGAGCAGAGAAAAGTGGCAAATCCTCACAAACTGCAACGAGCAGATTAGCATAGTTAGCATTCTTGCTTTGAAGGTGACTTAAATAATGTTTCATCATCAAATTGGTTGTCAACCAACTAATTGATTAATGGATTGTTCCAGCACAGTAATAGTCATGTGTCTGTGGCTCAAATAGGAGCGGGGTTGTAAAGTGCAATATGAAAGCAGGCATATTACATTACTCTGTGTTGAGATATTAAACTGTCAAACTGGTTTTTGTCTAATCTAACCCATGGACCTGTCTGTAGTTCTGGGAGGTGATCAGCGATGAGCATGGCATAGACCCAACTGGAACCTACCATGGAGACAGCGATCTGCAGCTGGACAGAATCAATGTCTACTATAATGAGGCTTCAGGTCAGGACTGTTCGAAACAACCACGCACACACATATTACTGCAACCTTGGTGTTCTTATGGTCTGTCCTCTTTTTGCTAATAAAAAAATGCGCGTTCCAGGTGGAAAGTACGTGCCTAGGGCCATCTTGGTGGATCTGGAGCCAGGCACTATGGACTCTGTCCGCTCCGGCCCCTTCGGACAGATCTTCAGACCTGACAACTTTGTCTTTGGTATATGATCAGCCACACGCACATATGTTGTCATTACACAGAGAAAGGAAAGGTCCTGTTAATGATCAGTTTATTAGAGATAATTGTTGCATTCCACATAGATAAGTTAAAACAATTTTCCAGTTGAAAGGGTAATCTAAGACCTTTTGGAAAGATAAATGAGGCTGAATATTCAAAGAGCAGATTAAAAATAACCCTCTACTTCCAGGCCAGAGCGGAGCCGGTAACAACTGGGCAAAGGGCCACTATACAGAGGGAGCCGAGCTGGTGGACTCGGTCCTGGATGTGGTGAGGAAGGAGGCTGAGAGCTGCGACTGCCTCCAGGGATTCCAGCTTACACACTCCCTGGGCGGTGGTACCGGCTCTGGTATGGGGACTCTGCTCATCAGCAAGATCCGTGAGGAGTACCCCGATCGTATCATGAACACCTTCAGTGTGGTGCCATCTCCTAAGGTACATCGATTGATTGTGACGTGCTGTTTATTGGTGTTTTTTTCCTTTTCTGGCTTTTTATTCCCCTGACGTTTGCCCGTTGTGCCTCCAGGTGTCAGACACTGTGGTGGAGCCCTACAATGCTACCCTGTCTGTCCACCAGCTGGTTGAGAACACAGACGAGACTTACTGCATCGACAACGAGGCCCTGTATGACATCTGCTTCCGCACCCTCAAACTCACCACACCCACATATGGAGACCTCAACCACCTGGTCTCTGCCACCATGAGTGGGGTGACAACCTGCCTGCGTTTCCCCGGCCAGCTCAACGCTGACCTCCGCAAACTGGCCGTCAACATGGTGCCGTTCCCTCGTCTGCACTTCTTCATGCCCGGCTTCGCCCCGCTCACCAGCAGGGGCAGCCAGCAGTACAGAGCCCTCTCTGTGCCTGAACTTACTCAGCAGATGTTCGATGCCAAGAACATGATGGCCGCCTGTGACCCGCGCCACGGCCGCTACCTGACCGTGGCCGCCGTGTTCCGCGGCCGCATGTCCATGAAGGAGGTGGACGAGCAGATGCTGAACGTGCAGAACAAGAACAGCAGCTACTTCGTGGAGTGGATCCCCAACAACGTCAAGACGGCGGTGTGCGACATCCCTCCCCGCGGGCTCAAAATGGCCGCCACATTCATCGGCAACAGCACGGCCATCCAGGAGCTCTTCAAGCGCATCTCTGAGCAGTTCACCGCCATGTTCCGCCGCAAGGCCTTCCTCCACTGGTACACTGGCGAGGGCATGGATGAGATGGAATTCACTGAGGCGGAGAGCAACATGAACGACTTGGTGTCCGAGTACCAGCAGTACCAGGATGCCACGGCTGAGGAGGGAGAGTTTGAGGAGGAAGGAGAGGAGGAGGTGGCCTAAGGCTTAAAAAGCACTCCTCATTTCTCACCTGCACTCGTCATAACTACATCAATCCACCCACTTCTTTCATTCCTACTCTGCTCTTTTTCTCTTTCTCTTTCCCTTTCTTTTCTTGTCATGGTACTCTCCGTTGTCCGCTCTCTTATCCCTGTATTCCCTCTGCCTCTCCCCCTCCCTCCAGCCAGAGTAGGATTTACAACACTAAACTGTCTCTCCCATCTCAGTGCTCATGTAGAGGTAGCTAACACAGGTGTGCTTGTGGTCTTTTGTCCGTAGCTTTCTGTTTATGTTCATTTATCATCATCAGTCAAACAGTACCTGGGCAAAGTATTCAATGAAACTGTTCAACCCACGCAATTTTGATCACTTGTCTAATTTGGCATTGGTTGAAATAAATCTGTTGGAAAAACATATTTTTGTGGGTTTCTTCTGTGTGTAATACATTATGAATATGAATACATTTAAAATTATCTTGTCTAGTTATGTGTAAAGGAATTTATTTTATTTTATTTTGAAAAGGACCATGTACAATATTAAACATACATGTTTAAACCATTTGATGTATTCTACCAGAGTTATGTCCAAGCTAATTTTTATCTGCAGTCCCTTAACAGGCCTTGATGAAAACACCGACACACAGTGATAGGACAGCGCTAAACAAGCAAGACAAGATATGTAACAGGAAGTTGACATAACTTTCTAAAAATATACCTGCCTTAAATAGACAAGAGTATACATTTTTGCACAATTCAGCTTCCAGTCTTACTCTTGATGTCAGAGAATGAAGGCAAACCAAAATGGAGACCTATGTTGTCGACAGATTAGGTAGTTTTGCTTGAACACCACAAGGGGGCAGTATTTCGGAGCAGGATGTGGACACCTGGTTGCCTCTACTTCAATCTGAAACCAGTAACACCGAATGACGTGTCACAAATACTTCTTCATAAGAAAAGAAGAGGGTTTTGAAGACCATCCCAGCTATATGACATACAGACATAAGGCATGTCTTCTTTGATATACATCAACACATCCTCAACATCAGCTCTAGTGTTCTTCTTACAGTTCCTCTTTATAAATTGCATGATCAGGCAGTATTAGTATTAGTTATTCTAAATATAGATATGTAAAAGTGAAAACAAAGGTGAAGGAAAGAAATGGGATTTTTTATGCAAATCTCATTGAGGTCACTGAGCAGAAATGATATTTCTATATATACCTATTTCTATAGCAGCTGCTCATGCAGATACGTCAGATTTGTGATTTGTGTTAAGTAATTAAAGGCTTGCTCTTGACCTTTATTGTTTTAAAAATGGATGAGAAGTCTTCAGCAACAAAGGTGGGGAAAACATAAGACAAGTAATGGAAATTCAAGAGAAGTGAATGTGAATGCTAAGACTTTGGAGAGGTGGTCTCATAACAGGCGTCATACGTATATATATATATACACACACACACACATACTGACATAGATCAGGAAGTGTTCTGTCACTCTGGCGGTGATTGTGCAGACTGTCTCTAGTGCTGCTGTCCGCTTTCATTTACGCCGTGGCTACATCAGCAGTATGACTACTATCTAACACACCTGCTGAGGATCTCTGCCCTCCTGGACAAAACACATGGACACAGACACATTAAGACAGCATGGGCTCCAGACTGAAGTAAGTTAATCATGTCATTTTTGCTCAACTTTCATCACTATCACTCTGCCCGTCAGTCTGTTCTTGTGGTTTTTATTACTTCCTCTCACAACTGCACAGGAAGTTTCCTGCAGCAAGTCTGTTGCCCTCACTGTGTTGCCATAAACTTCATGGTAGATCTGTTCTTGCTGAAAGCAGAGCAAAATGTTAATCTGGATTTGTTGCGTATGACCAGCTTTTTAATATTTTAATGTAATCACACTTTCTGTTGAGCTATCTACCTGTCTCTAATAGATATATCACAGTTTACTGTTGTCCTTAAGACACCTGTTTCATAATTACCTGAGACCAAAATCTTCTAGTTTATGTGAAATTAGGATTTGTGTGATATGATAAATGCTGGCCAGATTCCCTGGAAGGTCTCAGAATTAATGTGGACATGTTTTGGTGGTTAATACACTGTGTATAATCTCACATCAGTGCTGTAAATCTTCTCTTTCCTGTTAGACAAAACCCTGATCGAACCTTCTACTGGTTCTTTGAAGCCACTTGCCCCATAGCCAGAGACAAAGGTGAGTCCTCTGCCTTCTCTCACAGTAGCATACCTGGGTCAGATAGTATTAACTGTGATTCCCAGCTTGTGTTTCAACCTCTATGGAGTACTAGATGTGTGCTGCCTGCTATAGAATCATTCAGATATGCAGAGCGTTTTTTCAGCAACAGAGAAGTTGATTAAAATTGTTCCTCAAATTCTTCCTGTGACTCTATTTACCTTCTTGTCATTTTCTTACTCAACACACTACACCAGTACCTGAAACTGGCTCCAAACAAAAAACAACACTAGTTAATGTATGTGTTATAAAATGATAAGACATAAGACTTGGTATATATGAAGGTGTTACTGCTAAGCTGAGAGTTGCTCATATTTCCTGTCATGTGACCATGAAAACCACACAGCTTGTCTAGTCACATTTGAACCAGATGGGAACAAATTGTGGCAAAAAAACAGAGCGAGCAGCTGAGTGTGAGAAAATGGAGTAAAAAATAAATACTTCTGACTTTCATTGACTTATATGGTATATGGTTTCACTCATTGTTATCTTGTTAAATATTTAAAAGAATTTTCTTTTCTACAAGTACTTTGAAAAATGAATTTGCTTAGTATTAGCAATGATGTTCATTCATGCATTTATTCATTCTTTTTAATGTTATAGATCCTGGTGTACAGATTCAGTTTCCAGAAGACTTCAGTGATGAGGTAGCCACTCATATTTTCACGTTAAAATTAGAGTAACTTGTTTTATCCATGCTAGCAGCGTGGCTCTAGGGATTGTAATGTTGGTCAGTCGGTTGGTCAGTCCATCATTTGGTGCAGACTGAAATATCCCTACAACCATTGGATGGAATGTCTCTATTTTTTTCCTGCAAAGATTCTTGGTGCGTGGTGGATCCTTCTGACTTTAGTGATCCCCGGACATTTTTCCTCTAGTGCCACCATACAGTTCAGAGATGATGGTTTATATATGGTGGTTTTGCCTGAAATGTCTCAACAACTACTGGATGGATTGGAAATTTAGTGCATATATCTATGTCCCCCTAATGATGAATTGTGATCACTCTGCTGATCCCCTGACTTTTCATCTTGCATGCATTTTCCCAGCAATTTTCAATTTGTCCAATACTTTGGTTTATGACCAAAGACCTGCCCATCAGCAGCAGCTGTACATTGTGTTTCATGTTAATCAGAAAATGTGAACACGCTGCTCTAAGACAACAAACGTAGTAAATTATACCTGCCTAACATTAACATTGTCATTGTGAAAATGTTATACAGGTTCAGCCTTACAGAGCCACTATTTTGATGTTATTTTTCACTCTTCATTTTAAACACACAATTTTGTCCCACTCTAGGAGACTTATCAAACATTACCCAGGTTCTGCTTCCCGTATGACATACAAAGGTGAGTATAAACTGGATTGCCGTGACTCTCTTTACTCTGGGTTACCTTTTTAGCCTGCCTGTTCTTCTGTATGTCCACCTCTCACTGCATTTATCTGCACAGAGTGAGGGATGGAGTGGCCGTGCAGCACTTTACTTTTGTTTTGACTGACCTTGAGGGATGCCAACGGTTTGGCTTCTGTCGTCTCACCAACAGCACACATACTTGCCTTTGCATACTCAGGTACTTTTGTGTGAGAGTGTGAGAGTGTGTG